CACTCTAATTATAGTCCCCCTCATCCCCCCTCCCAGAGTACATGTATAAATGCCCCAACAGTCTACTGCTAGCACCCTCCATCTGTGGATGTCATTGTTTTATCTAAAATACTCTTGAAAACATTCGTCATAAAAGTCATCAGTTTCAGCAGTTTCTGATGAACATCTGCATTAAGTCTCAAACTGTAAAAAAAGGCTCCATTTTGTTTGTCACACTCATTTTGCTTTCTTTAATTAACATTTAAGATTATTTTATTACTTCTCTTACCAACTGTTTCTTACAAATCAAATCTCTGCAAAATGCTGCAGAAAAGAGAATACATGGCAGCAAAGTATAACTCTTTAAACAGCAAGGGTATAGGGTATGGGTTGGTTGTTTTACTCAAGCATCTGAGAAATGAGTAACTTATACAAGTCATCCCCAATAAGTTCAACATATCATACCTTACCTTCATATATCCCTTAACTTACTTTATGATGATTTTTAGACTGGATTTTTAAGAATCAATTATGTACTAGGCTATCTGTGAAGTCCAGCTTTCTTCTATAGCAAGAAAAAAACTGTATACCTGAGGGATCCATATTTCCTGACATATTCAGCTTTTCTCTACATAATGACTTCAAAGTCATAATGGGTTCTTCTATGATTGACAGGGAGCATTTAGCTGTCCTCCCCTTTCTCCCTCCTGAGGTCTGAGAATGCCTGTGTTTTGATGCATTTTCTTTAACCTCTGCTAACTACTCTGTCTGTTCTTTAAACAATAATTCTCAAGAGTCTTTGCTTTCACCTTTTTTTAAGTTAATAGCTGTTGCAACTTACAGAACTGTTGAAATGTAACTGATAACGTTGCATGTGCCAGAGTCTGGAGAAAATCTGATACAAAACCTCTGGTAAACTGCCTCACCCTTTTCCATAGCTATTTGGTCTGTGTGAAGTTTCGGTCTCCGATTCAATTCAGTGGAGATTCAGTCTGATTCAGCAGCCAAATCTCTGAATCTGACTCGAATCAGGAGACCCTTTAAGCTCTCCAAATTGAATTGGAACCCTCCGAATAGATTTGCAGAGATTCGACAATTCGGTCATAGACACAGATTTTAATATTTTTTCTACATACCTCAAGGTACCACGTGGCTCATGAACACTGAGATGGTGGGGCAGATGGAGCACCCCACAGGAGTGCGGGGGGTCCCCAGCACACTCAGCGGTGGACCCGGAAGTGGCCCAGAACACTTCCGGCCCATTTCTGGGTTCACCGTGGAGTGTGCGGGGGACTCCCCACACAATCTGGCAACTGGAACCTTCTGAGTATGGGGGGGCACCCAGGGTCTCCCCCTGGTTGATCGCTGAGCTGAGGGGTTCCACCACCAAGAACATGGGCAGCCACCCCGCACTCCTGTGGGATGCTCCATCTGCCCCACCATCTCAGCGTTCATGAGCTGTGCCTGGTACCTCGAGGTATGTAGAAAACATTTAAAGCTGTGTCTATGGCCAAATTGCAGATGCTCCAAATGAGCTTCGAATCTTCAGATTTGGATCTGGCTGAATTGAATTGGGACAGTGATCTGAATCAACTAATTGAACTACTGTCTCCTGATTCGGGTCAAATCCTAATCCAAAGCAAATACGGCCTGTTTCGCACACCCCTAATAGCTACATATTCAGGGCTTGTTTTCTCTGCGTTGGCAGGGTGAATTGTAATTTAAGTTTTACCTCAATCCAATACGCATCCAGATACTAGCATAGGTCAGCTGTGTTGGGGAAGGTGGGCGTCAAGTGCTGCTGATAAGCTAACGCATTGGGGATGCAGTAACTTGAGTTACAACAGCTTGTCAACTGCTAATCCAATCACTCCCCCAATCTACTCATCCAGAGTAGCTCACATATTTTGTAATGCATCTGATCTCTCTTGAACTTGAGTGATCGTGCTGTAGAAGTAGTTGGGTTAAACCTGAGTTAGTACATTTGATTGCTGCAGTGAAGACAAAGCCTCAGATACTAAAGATAATGATGTAACTGCAAAACTGCTAGCTATTTTGCTACTCAAATAATATAAAAAAGTATGGTAAACATCACTTTATCAAGAACAAAGCATCCTCTCAGAGTGCTTCTTTTGGGTACACTGTTAATGGCTTGAATAGGAGCAAGACACCTAATTTCATTCTTCTGGAGTTGAGTGGGGAAATCAACTTTCAGATAATAATTCTTGTGTTTACACTGTGGCACTTGTTCTGCTAAACTTTGACTACCTTTCCTTTGATAGAACTTTCAGTTTCAAGGGTTTTGACGGCTACCAGTAAGTGAGTATATCCAGTCTCTGAATGATATGCAAGGGCTTAGGACAGATATTGAAGGAAAGAATAATCAAGTATACAGAAAATGGAAAAAACACAATATGAGTTTATCCAAGGAAGAGTTTGAGTAACTTAATAATCTTCTATGATAAAATAACTGACTTAATCAATAAGGACAAATGTTGTGGACTTAATTTATCTAGGTCTGAGTAAAGCTTTTGCTGCCATGCTTCAGGGGAAAAAAAGCGAAACTGGAGAGGACGGGTCAACACTACAAAGAGTGTTAGCTTAAAGGTGGAGGAGTTGGCTCAAAAGCAGTCTACAATCAGTTATACAAAAAGATGATCTGTGTGAAAGTAGAGTGGTTCCCAGTGGCATTTCTCAGGGATCAGTCTTAGTGCCTCTCTGGTTTTAACATGGTCATCAATGACTGTGGTACTGGAACTTGATGTTCTCATAAAAAGCGTAGATAATAGTAAATTGAGGGGTACTGCCAATATAGAAGAGGACCAGATTATTACATAGGAGGATTTTGGAAACTTGTGGAATAGAACATTAGGCCTGGCAGATGTTAATAATGTGACGGGATCTGAGGAATTTTATTCTGGATCCCCAAAATTGCATGTCTTGCCATGCCAGATGCACAAGGAAGCATGATTTTTGGGATGTAGGATAAATTCCTCAGATCTCATCACACGTCTGCCAGGACTTGGGTGAGTTGCCAAGTTGCCGTATGCTGGGACCTTTAAAAGGTATGTGTGCAGCCCAAAAGCCTGGCTACATATGTGCCTTTTAAATGTGGTCATGGGCAGGGAGCTCCCCAATCCCAAACTCCCTATGCATTCGAACTTTCAAAAAATATATGGGCAGCCGTGTTGCATGTGTTCCTTTTTAAACACACTAGCCTTAAGACTTTAGAGACAACTGAGGAAGCAGATATCTGGGTTCTTGACTGACTATAGGATGACCATAAACCAACAGTGCGATGTGGCTGTGAAAAAGGAAAATGCAATTGTAGGCTGTATGAAGCAAGCTATATTCAGGAGAGACAAAGAAGTACTAGTACAAGGCACTGGCAAGACCCTCTAGTCAGGGTACTGTGTGCCACTCTGATCAGCAATGATTAAAAAGATTAACTTTAACTGGAAGGGTTAAAGAAGGGCCACTAATATAGTTAAGACAATAGAGACTTTTTCTCATGAACACTAAAGTAACTTGGCATGTTTAACTTTACAACGGGGCTGGGGTTGTGCAGGTGCTAAGGTGCATGGTTGACAGCCTAGAGGTCACAAGTTCCAGGCCACAGCCGAAATGCTCATGGTGCAGCCCTGTCAGATTCCAATGACTCTGCAAATTCTGCTAAATACCTTGTCACAAGGACACATGGAAAGAAATTTAATAATAATGGAGATTGAGAAGGAAATATGATTTAATTTTTTTACATTCATGGAGTGAATAATAGGAAGGGAAAAGAGCTTTTAGGGGTTAAAAAAACCAAACAACTCAAGATCAAATAGCTAAAAATTGGCTATGTATGCATTTTAGATTGGAAATTAAAGTATTTCTAACTGTCAGAGAAGTGAAGTTTTGGAATGGTCTTCTGAGCAAAGTAGTGTGGGGCCATGAAGTACATTAAGACTGATCTCAATACATTTATGGAAGGAGTAGTTTGGCAGTACAGGGAATTCTTGGTTCAACAATCAATATGTATAACGTGGAATCAAGTAATTGCAATCCCCACGTTGGAAATAATTTTCTCTTCGTTGGGTACATATGCATTTAAACATGACTAAATTTAATGCGCATCAAGCTAATGCTCATTAAATGATTTTTGGCAAGTGTCTACACGTGCAGGAACTTGGCACTGAAGTTACTGCCAAGTCCCTGCAGCCCTGCTATGTGCGCCTAGTGGCTGGGCAGACCCAGCACTAAAGTTAGTGCTGGGTTGCGTCTACATGTGCATTAATGTGCTTTAACTAATCATGCCTAAATTTGGTACCTGTATTTGCAGGTATCAAATTTAGGCACCATTAGCCCAATTTCATCATTTTAAATGCACATTAAGGGTGCTTATGTGTATGTATGTACCTGTAATGCACATTAAATTAGACTAATGTGCATTAACATGTCTTGTGTAGACACACCCTTATGGAAAGGATCTGGGAATCCCATGTTTTAGAGCTCTTGCTGGTTTCCAGTTAGCCATTTTTTTCCACCTCATGAATGTCACTGGATTTTATGTTGTTGTCCATGGGGCACGGGATAGGGTCAAGGTCCCCGTCAACCTTGCGCCTGGCGGGCCTGTGCCATGAGGGAAAAGCCTCATTATTCCTGCAGAATCAGCCAGCAGCAATTGCCCGGTTCTTGCCTGCTACATCTTGATGTAATTTGTAGATAATCAGAAGGTGTTCTCCTACTGAAAGTCTGCTACAAGGACATTAGGTCTGTCCCTCCTAGGGCTTCAACCTCCCCTTATATCCCAGTCAAATGCCAACCAGCTGTTATGATATTGTGGGAGACTACCAGTTGTTAACAGATGTTCTACAATTTTTCTGTTCTTTCTTTTTTTCCTAGGCTCAGGATCTCTTTCTGTGTTCCTTCTGGATGGAGAGGTCAGGGTTGATCCAGGAGAATATCAGGAAAATATCACCACTGGAGCAAAAAGGGAACTGCAACCATCACTGGGCAGGACAGCCCAGGTAAGTATTAGACATTCACAGCATTCAGAACGCTATGTGCTTTCTGTCTGTTCTTTTTCTTTCTTTTTTTTTTTTTTTTTTTTAAAGGCA